ATTCATAAAATAGTGAAACTAGGGTCCTGTTCTTTTTTTAAGAAAGTAAAATCACAACTGTTCTCCTACTTCCTTCTATCCCAAAGTATTGTATGTAATTTCTTTCTGTTTTTTAACCAGCTAAGGAGGAGTAAAAAAGCAGGGGAATCCACCAATTAGGAGCTGTCACAAACACAGTCCAAAGGACACATCATGCTGTGGGCCAAAGTGGAAGAAATCTGGAAAAGACATTTTTAAGCTGAGTTTTTTTTCATATGGCTTATAATACACCCAGGGACAAATCAGATTAAGGTTGCAGTGTGGGAAACCCTTCTGTCATAAAGTCATCTGGGTAACTTGTGGCCCATTCACTAGGTTTCAGACTACCTACTTTACTTACCCGACCTTGTTAGAAGAACATTTAGAGGGCAAAAGTACTGTATAAGACAGTTTCAGTTGCTAGAGAAAAGGTATGACTAGAACAAACAAATAACCAAATAAACCATTCAACATTTACCTAAGTATATAGTCTCCTGTTATTTGAAAACAATGTGCATATTTTTCTTAGACTTGAAAAAAACTGAAAGATTTACAACTCTAAATAACAAATGGAGAAAAATACTAGAACTCACCATCTTACAACATGATCTGATATTAAACAGCAAGAATAAACTGTAAGAAGATTGTTTTCATTTCACTGCCATTCGTATTATTTAAGCGGCATTTCTTACTTAAATAGAAAATTACATGTCATTGTCTTTTACAACCATTAGAAATACAGGCAGAAGTCAGTTTTCTCCAGTGTTTAAAATAACAGGGGGAAAAAGAAGGGCACATATGATGTTTTCAAGAAGGCCTAGATAGCAATAGCCAGAAATTTCTCTACTGGTATCACTCTCCAAATCTGTTTATTTAAAGCTCTGTAGGGAGAAGGTTTTAATGGGATTTATACCACAGTTGAAAGAACCTTTTAGTTGATGAGTAATGCAAGGGAATCAAGGAAGGGCATCCCCAGCCCAAACCCATTATGCAGAGCTACAAAGACACATTGTTTAAATGGGTTGGGGGGAGTAAAATAGCCTCCAGACAGATGGATGATATGGCCCTAATGACTTCTAAAATGTAGAAACTAGCAGCCAAAATAGACGCACTAAGTTAATAAAGAAGCTAAGCAGTAGGCAAAGTACAATATCCATTAGCCTTGCCAGAATGAAACCCATTGACAAGAAGGACTACTCCTTAAGTAGTTTGATTGAGACTAGGTTTAGCAACAGCCTCCAGACCTAACCCTCAGAACGGCCATATTAACTTTCATTAAAAAGGTTTGTTTTGTAGTAGCATAGTAACAGCATAATGCTCAATAAAAAGGCAAAGCTAGAGGAAATCACTGGATGGGTTCAACAACACATCAAAGCATGTGAAAACCAAGAAACCACATAATTGCTCATTACTGTATTGAGTTAAACCATTCTGCATATTTCTTATGCTTGTGCAAAGCGATGACATCCTAAAATCTGTTCTGCCCTCCCCCCATCTAGTTCTTATCCTGTTGTATCTGTAGGGAATCCCTGCCAAATTCTGTGGTCCTGATTTGCAGGTGCAACAGTTATTGGCTGTTGTTTTTACAAAGTGATTGGGGGTTTTTTTGTTCTTTTAGCTTTGCTCCAATCATCCTAGTCACCAGATCACAGGTGCGACATTATATATTTTACAAACCTTGAAGCTATAGTAGGATAGTGTCAGTTTTCAGTGGAAAATCTAATGGATGAAATAATGACTGAAGATGAATACAACAGTCTGCACACCAGAGGGAACAAGTTCCTAACACACAATTATGTACCATGGTAAACTGGAAGTTTAAGACCTTAAAGTGATGGAGAAATTTAGCTTATACAAGTCATTTACCTAGCATAAACATTGCCAGAGTAGCAATGAAGAACAGATTATTATCACTGATACCTGCTCTTGTATATTAATGCTACTTGAGAAGAGGGGTAGCAGGTATAACAAGTTAAACTGGGACATTTTAAGATGAAAATCATCCCTAAAACCCTTATTGAAGATCTTCAAGTGAAGGAGACTAAAGAAAATTACAGCATAATACTGCTGGAAAACGTAAGATGAAACATAAGAAGCAGAGTCAACTTCTCATGGGTAAAAGATGTATAGCACTTCAGATTGAAAGGTTAAAAAGTATTTTTAAATGCAAGGAGTGCATGCATAGCATCTGTCTGAATCTGCTTCAGCCAAACACACCTTTTTCCTGGAATCGGCTCTGAAAAATAGCCATGAAGTCACAGAAAAAGAGGGAGGTGATAAGGAGTTCAGATAGATGTACCATGAAACACCTATCTGCCTTCGAAGGCAAAGAACTCTACAGCTCTAATACAGGTAGTCCTCCACTTACAATCATTCATTTAGCAACTGCTCAAAGTTACAATGGTACTGAAAAAAAGCTTACAACCTTGCAGAATTCCTGTGGCCAAGTGATCAGAATGTCAGAAGCATTTGGCAACTAGCATGTATTTACAATGCTTGTAGCATCTTGCAGCATCATTTGTGACCTCCCCAGCCAACATCTGGCCAGCAAAGTCAGATTCCCTTGAGGATTGGGTAATTTACTTAACAACTACAGTGATTTGCTTAACAACCCATGGCAAACAAGCTTGTAAAATTGAGTGAGACTTACTTAACAACTGCTGTGGTCATAAGTGGAGGGCTATCCTGTATGTGCACAGGTATGGTGCGTTGCTTTTATATAAAATATATGTTGTGCAGTATTGATTTAGGTATTAGATTCATATTATTCCCTTTTACACTTCATAGCAACAATTACTGTACCTGAAGGAAGTGAAAGAAAAAAACCCCTCTCTTTTCTTGAGTTGATAGAATTTATACCAGTTCTGAGGCAGCCTCGGTATCTGATACTTTGAAAAACATTGCTTCCTAAAGGCAAATTTGTCCTTCAACTCTATACAGGCTTTTCCAACTCTCTTATCGTAATAGATGAAGATACATGTAGCTATTTAACTTAGGGTATCTGTGATGTAACATGCGTATGTGCTTGCCAAATTCAATAAGACAATAAAACTTTATAATCAGCTTAATATTTCATACAGAATGTTAAAAATATTGATATTCATGTAAATATCAAGAATGTTGATAGGAAAACTGATAAAAAACATATTTCATGTATGCCATTTTAATTTTCTGAGCTAAAAAACCTACTGAAAAATTACAGCTTCATAATTCTAATAAAAAGCTTGCATTTGTTTCTCTAGAATAGATACAATGTCCCCTAGGTTATTATTTATCATTTAGTATTTAGATGACTCTCCTGAAACAAAAACGTTGCAGTTGCATTATAAAACTTACTGTCCCAGGATGTGGTAAAAGTCACATAAAAGGGCAATATTACAAAGTCCATTAATTCAATTTCAGAGCTGGCAGATAGAATAATCTCAAGATATTGATGCAAATCAACTGTTGATGTATTTTGATAGTTAACTGATATTTGTTTTAAAAAGTCTTGTGAGTTAATGTAGTTAACAGGGTTAACTACAGGGTTGGTTGTTGTTGTTATTTGACAATATTGCCGTGTTAAGAACAATGGCACGGATCCATCCAAAGAATTTATGGTGAGTTTATACTCACACAGTAGCATGGGTGTTTAACATAGCTGTGGTGGCAGTAGATATCAATGCTAAATATATGTAATACAGGGCCATTATATGGGACAGGGGCAGTCACTGTTCTTCATGTTCTTTATTTCAGTTTAAAAAGTGCAATGTGTTGAGTAGCCCTAAGAATAATAAACAAGTAATAATCAGAGAACCCATTTTTATAGTTTCCTAACTTAGTCAACAGAAGCATCAGTTTTCCTATACATGAATCTTAGAATAAAACTGCTGAATTATCATTTAACACATTTATACTTTCAAAAACTATGTGCAATATATTAACACACTTCAGAAATGTTTTTTTCTTACACCTGCCTTCCTCCTTGGGCGATTGCCACTAGTTTTCATTTTCTTTTTATTGCTACAAGGAGACTCACAATTCCAACTGATGAACACCATTTCTCATTTTAAAAATATTTAAAATACATATAAACAACAGGGGCAGATCTTTTAAAAAGCATATTCTATACAGAGCCATACTAATAAAAACAGGGGGGGGGGAATAGGATCAAGGGCACCAGATAAATGTTCTACTTCTGTAAACTAACAGCATAGGACCCAACTGAGGATCTTGCTTTGTTTATGCTCACTTCCAATGCTTCAAAGTTCAGAGACACCAGGAACACAAAGGAGGAATCATGTATTTTGCCTGACCAAACTTGGGTAAAATCAAAAGGTGCAACCTAGTAGGCATCCTGTATAACTGAATAAGATTTGTAGATGCTTTCCTAGAGAAATATTAAACACAAAAATGGATATTGCCAACAACAGAAATGTGGAGGGATGTGGAAGAAAAGGAGACAGCCAACTAACTACCTGTTCCAGGGAGGTAAGTGTAAATTTCTTTACATTTTCTACCATAGCTTGCAAATGAACGAGAAACTCCTGAAAGGCGAGTGCGAAGGTCATTGATCACCTGCTCGCACCGCGAAAATGCACAGTGGGCTCTCGTCTCAGATTAAAAGGAGAAAAAAAAAGTATCTCCCGATCATGTTTTGAGTCCCACGAAGAAAAACCTCAAAACGGGACGGATGTGGAAAGAAGAACCCTTTGCAAAAGGGAGAAGCAGGAGGGGAGACCGTGCGCTCCAGGCTCGGGGGTTCAACTGACGAACTCGGAATGGGGGGTGTATTCCGAGATAACGTTCAAGTTCCGGTTAAGGGTGTCTCCCTCAACCAGCGGGAGAGGAGGCGACCAAGGCAGCAGGTTTCGGGCTCCCTTCGGCTGGGATGTTGTTCTGGGTTTCTCTCCGGATGGGCCGGAGTTCTCTGCCCTCAGTCGGGCCAGGCGCAGTGCGCAAGGCGGGAGCGCTCCTCCCTTCCTCGCGAGCCCCTTCCTTACCTTTGTGCCCGCCGAAGGCCCCGTACCACGAAAGCGAGAAGAGCGCGCAAAGGCAGCCGAGCAGCAGCGTGAGGAAGGTGCCATTGCGGAGCCTCATGTCCTCCGTCTCCTCGGCGATGGCTGTGGCTGGAGAGGCCGCATGTCCCGGGCTCTTCGCGGCGGCCTCAGTCTCCCGGGCCCCGGTGAGGAGCGGAGGCGGCGGCAGGGGCTGCCAGTGCCCAGGCGGGCGAGCGGGAGGGACTCACCGCCGCCCCCGCCTCCTCCTCCTCCTTCTTCTGCGCCTCCGCCCGCTGCCCTCATGCACTGGCCGCGCCCCACCGGGCCGCCGGCTTTAGCGGGCAGCAAAGGCTCTTCTCCCACTCCTTTGACTTTGCCCGGGCCTGGAGCAGACAGAGAGGGCTGCTGTGCCGCCGCCGCCGCCGCCAAGAAAAGGAAGGGAAGGGGCGGAGGTGGTACCATCCTGTTAAAGGAGCCGCGCGCGCGCTTTTCGTCAGGCAGCCCGAGCGCTGCCCACAGCTGCAGACACGTGCAAGCCACCGCGGGTGCACCGGCTAGTTTGGTCTGTGGGGGTGAGGTAGCATAGTGAGTGGGTGCTGGCGACGGACTTGAGGATGGCAACTAGGCGGACGAAACAGTCGCTGGACAACAAATTCCATATTCAAGCAAAGAACGGGTCGACTGAGCAGGACTGGAGCGTGGGGGGGGGGGGGACTCCTTAGGATGGACAGAATGATTTCTTGCCAAACTCTGACGGGGCCGTCAGGGACCATAAGCTGCGTTTGAAACGACAGCACAATCCTGGTTCACGCATATATATGAATCACTTGATTTTCGCAATACAGGCGGTGACTTAAACTTGTGAATAGAACTTCACTGCCACACAAATGACTTATCGAACTTTTGAATGAACTCAAATGCCCCGGTTTTCCAAAGATAAAAGTTCACGGTTTCCGATTCCGGATCTCAGAAATCGAATCAAACTAATGCCTAAGCCACTTCTCAGCAAGGAGCACAGGCTGGAAGCCTATTCACAGTAGTGAGTTGAAACATTTCAGATAGTTTTTCCCATCACATTTCAGCTAGCTTTGGCCATCCACCCTGGTGTCTTCAGCATGCTGGCTAGGGAATTATGAGATATGAAATCTTATCGGGAAATCATCAGATCAGGGAAGTTAGTTTAGATATTCATATTTCAAGTTTATGAATGGGATCAGTTCAGGGCAGAACATAAGACTGAATCTGGAAATTGGGGGAAAAATGATCTTACTGTATTTGGATTCTAGATTGAAGTAAAATAAAACTAAGAAAACTGCAAAAGATAGCAGAGTTTAGTAAGCAAGGATCCCACAACAGGAGAAGGTATGGGGGAAAAGCTCATGTTTGGATAGGAATATTTGAAAAAGGAAATATTACAATATAAAAGCAATGGGGAGGGGAGGGAAAGACAGCAGAACTACCCAGTGTGGCTATGTCACAAAAGAATCAATAAAGATCTGAAAACAAAAAGGAGCACAGGAGGTGAAAAGGCAAAGAAAAATACACAGTAGGACTGTACAAAGCTTCAGAGGATGCTTTGCTTTAATAAAGGTTTGTGTAAAGTATCCTTTTGAAGTCATTTCACAATTTGTGAAGAGGCTAGGAAAGAATATTTAGACGTAAACAACAAAGCGGGAGGGGGAAATTTATTATAAGGTGTCTGATCTATAAATGACAAGTCCAGGTGGCAAGAAACATTTGAGCAGATTTTAAGACAGTGATTATTAGATGTCAGCTTGAATTTATCAAGAACGGATCTTGTCAGACTTCTGATTTGCCATCACGGCCGCCGCAGCCGCTGGAAGGCAAGCTCCGTCTTCCGTGTTTGGTTTCGCTCTGCTGGGGGACCCTGGAAAGGGTCAAAAGTCACCCTGTAGGGGCGACGAGCAAGGAGGGGACCCCTGCTTGATCGTGGGACGGCGGCAGCCCTTCCGCTCGATCCTGGGCAGCCCTCCAAACTGGCGGAGGAAAGATCAGCCATAATAATACGGCCCATCACTAGGCTGCAGACAGCCGAAGTCAAACTTACCACCAAGCACTTTGAAAGCAATGCAGATGAAACTGGTTGAGTTCCGATCTTCTCTTTTCCCTAAGTACTTTCTTTTCCTGTAAAAGCTGCCTGAAGTATCTTTTCCCCGTGAGGAGAGAGGGAAGGGAATTTCTATCCCACCCTCTTAAGAATAGCGGCGACTGACTACTCAGGGGAATTAAAGCATTAAAAGGATAACTTTAATTTAATTGGATTTATATGTTCCTGAAACTTGGGAACCAAAAATTTTTCTATTTTTATTGGAGACTTTTGTTTTTATTTACAAAAAAGAAATAAAATTGGAAAAAGTATTACAAAAAATTTGGACTTAAAAAACCTTAAACAGCATCGGTGACATCTTGTGGTGAACTTTGGTATTACCACTTGTTATTTCCTAACAGAGACTTGGCTCAAGCCCAGACCTTAGATAAGACTCTTCTGACCTTGGCACATGTGAGAAACTCAGCTGTAAGAGAACAGCTGGGTGGCATAGCTGACCTACTTGTACTATGAATGTAAACCCTTATTGACTTTATATGTGGGGAATTACCTTCCTATCTCTTTATTTGAGGAATATTGGTTACTATATGAGATAATAAAATACCTTGGACTATAAAATCTTGCTTGGCAAATGACTTCTACTATAAAGACTATTTATAAACATGTGAAAGAGATGGATGAAGACCAGGAAAAGATCCTTTCCATGTTGAAAGCAATACATGAAACCATTCTTTCAGCTTGTGATAAAAGAAGACCTAACATAAAAGATCAAGATGCAAGCTTAGATACACAAACCCAAAATTTGACTACAACCAAAGAACTAACGTAGAAGATAACAGAAGAAGTGGAACAATCAAATATCAAGACAGAGGACTCAATTGACCAACAAATACAGTTAATGGAAAATCCAGAAAAGGGAGTGACAACATTGAAAATGACGAAGAACAGATTGAATGGAAGATAAACATATCAGGGCAATTATGGGGAATTGGAATAATAGGGAGACAACTTTATGAATACAAATGGGCTAGTCCTTCCCAAAAAAATGCAATTAAATGGTCTCCTTTATTTCAAATAACATACATAATAATAGAGGGAGATCTATTTGACAATCTAAAAGTACTGATATTGAAGCCTAGTTGGCAAAGGAAGAAAGCCAGAATAAGGCTGAAGAAAATTGGAGTTTTGATTTATTAGAGGGGATTTCATATTGTTAATTAGAGGGTTAAAGGGAGAAGTTGAGATAAGGGGAATTCTGGTCATTAGATTTAAAATATTTGGAAATTAGTTGAAAATAAGGATTTTATCTGTTTAATATTTAAAAATTAGACCTGAAAGAAAAAAAAATATTATTATGAATATGTTTGATTTACTGATTAACCCAGGTAATATATACAATGGTTTTGATTTATTTAAGGGGATATTGTATTATTAAGTAGACGATTTAATATGGTGGGAAATAGATAACTTTTAGGAAATAGAACAAGATTATATTCAAATAGATAAAATGTGTATTGTGATATTAGATTCTGTTATGAATTGAGATAAGGGAAATCTTGGTTACCTAAAACCTGAAAGTTATAAATATCAAAGATTAAATTGGAATATTGATGGGAAACTAAAAACCGGGGGAAAATTAATAACAGGATATGGATTGTTTATGAAGATTGAATGTAAAAAATAATTAAGATACATATAAGCTAAACATTTATTGATAAATGTAATAATGATGTTTTTACTGAGTGGATATAATAAGAACTGTATTAGCTTAAATACGAGACAGTAAATGTTAATGGAAAAAGAGAGGAAATATTTGATGTTGTAACGTGAGATTTGTATTAAAGATTTTGTTATTGAATTATTGATTAACCCAGCCACCACGTTGCTTCTTAAATACTTAAATGTAAAATTGGAAAATTAATAAAATATTGTATTAAAAAAAGAACGGATCTTGTCGAACATTTATTTTACTTTTATTGGGTAAATTCCAATATAAAATGTGGGAATATTGTACAGAAAAAAATACTTTGATTTCAACAAAGTATTTGACAAAGTACCTAATGAATTCTGATTAGCGAGCTCATTAAGTATTATCAAGTTGGATGGCATGACAATAAAATGGATAAAAGGATACAAAATAACTCAAAAATCACATTCAATGTTCATCAGTACTTGCTCATCAAACTGAAGAGAGGTATGAAAGAAATGTCACAAAGTTTAGCTGGGATTCAGCATTTTTACTAATGAGTTAAAAGAAGAGGACCAGCTTATTAAATTTTCAGATGACACAAAACTGGTGAGAGAGCAAAATAGATAAAATTTTATATGACCTTGATAAATTAGAAAAATTGGATGAAATTAACAGTTGAATCAGTGCAGAGACAAATGCAATGTTCTTAATAGAAATCAAAAGCATAGGGATGGAATGGGGTAAGTCTGATTTGGCATAGCACTTGTGAAAAAGATCTTGGAATATTATAAATGGAATATGAATCAGCAGTGTAGCTACAAAATATGACTACAAAAATGTTGATGCACTGTTAACAGAAGTAAAGGTTACAAACCACAGGAAGCAAGTATTTAAATTTATTTTGCATTGTTAAACCCCACTTTGTGGGGTTTGTGTCTATTTCTAGATACTACATTGTAAGAAAGTTTCAGTCAAAGTGGGCTAGCTATGGAAAAGGGCAAGGATGACTAGAGGAGTAGAAGCTAAGTCACATAAAAAAAAGTTTTAAAAACTTAGAATTATTAGCCATGAGAAAGAAAGACTGAAGGAAGTACTATTCAGGTACTTGAGTAATATAAAACACCTGCAAAGATAAGATACAGAAGGTAAGATTTCTTCTCTTACCCAAAATGTGGAACTCAGTCTTAAATGGCTGGAAACTAGATTTTTTTGGATTGCTACAGAAAAAGCCTGAACAATATGGACAATTTAACCAATTATCCAGAGAGAAGGTGAGATGCCCCTAATTTAAATGTTCAAGCAGAGGCTAGGCAGCCATCTATGAGGGTTGCAGCACAAGTCCAAAAAGCTCAGAAGACTAAACTTCTGGTCCTAGGGGCTGACCCAGATTTCATCCTACAATATCATCCTGGGACACGTATGTTTGTCTTCATTCATAATAAGAAGAGTGTTATCTAAGTTACACAGTAATTGGTTCTGATTGTAATTTGCAACACAAGCTGAGACGGAAAGGATAGGAGCAGGATAGAATTGCTCCACAGACAGGAACCCAGCTTCCCCTGATGACCTCCTATGAGAGAACATGGAGTGGAAGCTAAGCCCAGAGCTACCTAGGCTGTCACTGTATTTGCCTGAAGCTACTGAAGGTATATCCTCAACTGAGCAGCTGGGCTATCAATTTAACAATTAATTCACATGAACGGAATGAACTGGCTAATTTCTGAAGATGAGACTCCCATGTAATTAAAACTAACTATATTTACAAGTGGTAGCTTTTCACTGGAATGGTTTAGTTACCATTTATGGTGTGGCCATAACATCTGATTAAACCTAAATATTTATATTAAATACCATGGAATTTTTAAATAACAGCTGGTATATATACATACTTTTCTCAGCCGACAAGTAACTGACAGGAAACATAAGAATAAATTTCTAAAGACATGTCTACTGTGATAAGCAGATATACTGTAGAAAAATTAAATAAGATACTGTTCTCCAAAGCGCCTGAAGGCAGGACAAGAAGCAATGGATGGAAACTAACCAAGGAAAGAAGCAACCTAGAACTAAGAAGAATTTTCCTGACAGTGAGAACAATTGATCAGCGAAACAACTTGACTCCAGAAGTTGTGAGTGTTTCAACACTTAAAGAAGAGATTTGTCTGAAATGGTATAGGGTTTCCTGTCTGAGCAGGGGGTTGGACTAGAAGATTCCAAAGTCTCTTCCAAATCTGTTATTCTGTTATATAATTCCAGTGATTGCTATGAATCAAATGTAAGATTTATTTTAGTAAAATCAGAGTTCAACTGCTTGTGCCTCTTTTTTTCCAACCACAGTGTAATGAACTACATGTCTATTAGCTTTCCCAAGACTTACTAATATCTTTTCCTGAGCTCTTCATGTGACTCAGGCCAACTACTATGGTTGTGGTCAGGAAAAAACAACTGTGTAATTCCCCTTGTCTCTCTCTCTCCTGCCTGTCCCAATTATGCTTGGCAAAGAGGACTTAGTCCTGCACCTGCATTATCTCATCATCGGTATGGCTGCTTTGCTTTGCTTTGAGTCCCAGATGATCTATGTCTGTCTGTCTCTTAATTCAGTTCTTGGCTGTATTTGCACAATACACTGGACCATCCCTAGCCAGTTGTATTTTAACCTAAGTATTTAGTGTGGTTGAACCCAAGCACAGAATACTGATTAGAGTGTGGCACCAGCTTAGTCTCACTATAAATATCCATGTTTGGTAACATCTTGGTTAGATTAATGTTATACACGGAGCTATCCTGAAACTGGATTATATGGACATTTCCAGTCCCAATTCATGCTGGTTTTACTCTATAAAATTTCTTCATGGCTTGGGGCTAGTTTTTGAAGGAATGTCTCTTCCTGTATATTCCAATGTGTATCTTAAAATCATATTTGAAGGGCTTATTCTGGGTGGTCTCCATGTTGAATGTAAAGAGAGGTAATCTAGAAACAGGCTTTTACAGTGGTAATCCCCCAATTTGGGAATGCCCTCCCCTGCAAGATATGTCTACAGCATGCTTCATACATCAAAAATATAGACAGAAGAATGAAACCTTTACTCTGGAGTGTATGTGTGTTTTTCAGACATTATGAATAGCTCCCCTAATTTGTCTATGATTTTCTAATAAATATTCTATATTGAGAAAAATAACAAAAGATGAATTTCACATGTGGCAATTGATTTCAAGTGCAATGGTCAGACACAAATATTCCATAGTTTTTCATATCATGCTTTTTGATTAGAAAGTATGGCGTATAAGGCTTCATCTTGTTTTGATGCCATTCTTGTACACATTAGTGGTTAACTCTTAATCACTGGTGGCTTTCAAGAGAGACCTAATGATTACCTCCTTGTGAGCTGTCCAGTAGATACCTGCATTGAGTTAGATGACTGAATTAGATGAGCTGTGGGTTCCTTCCAGCTCATATATTTTATGATTC